AGCCTCTTTTATTTTTTTCTACACATTTGGTTGATACTGAGTACCTACTCACAAGATTGTGTGAGAATTGAGAGATCTTATGTGATTTATCAAGCAAATTGTCTAGAATAGCACAGGTGCACATTAAAATTAATTTTTTTGTCCTCGCTACCCAACCCCATTCAGAAAGGTGCTTGCTACAGGAGAAGTGGGTAGAACCTAGATAATAATGGGCCTTTTTTTGCACTGCTAGGAGTTTGAACTCTGTCTAGAACAAGTGTTTCTCAAAGTGTGTTACCTCTACCACCAGCACCAGCACCACTTGGGAGCTTATTAGTGATGTAATTTCTGAGCTTCCTAATCAGAAACTCTAGTGGTGGGGCCCAGGCAACTGCTTGAACAAGCCCCTCCGCATGATGCTAATGCCTACTAATGTTTGGGAAGCGCTGCTCTAGAAGAACATGAGAATAATTGTGGGATTTTTTTTTCTCATAATCCTTTTTCCATCATGAGGCTTACCAACCACCTTTGCTGGTACTCTTGATCTCTTTTCAACCTCCTGTAGACTCTCAGCTTCATCTGTGAGACTAAATTAGTTGTTGAATTTTAAAGTACTGCTGAAACAGTGTTAAATGTTGGTTCTCTACCTACCTGTAGAAATCTGTTAGTGGACAGTTCTAATTTAAGTTCTGAATTGATAGCAGAGCTCCAGTTGGTGAAAAGGAAATAGAATTTCCTAACCTTTTCTTAGTCCTAGATTTGAAACTGAGCAAAACATCTTTTATAATTCTGTTTCTTTTTGTACATTTCTCATCTCCTAATGATCCTCCCAACATATTGCTGAGAAGACCCCTTCTCCCCAACTTCCATCCCTCCATGCAATTGGTATCTGCTTCAGATTAACGGAAAAGCATTTACCTATACTTGTGTATAAAAGTCTGATAATCTCATCATCATCCTTTACATCTTTCAATTTTTTAAGGATGTTTTCTTGTTTTAGGTCCCAGGCCTGGAAGGAGACCCCATGGTGGGAGGAGACAGTGCTGTGCAGAACCCACGGGACAGGAGTACGAGGCGGCCTGAACTCTGTCTCTAATTCTGGGATTTTAAGCAAGAAAGCAATGTGAAATGACTTAAGTAACAGAAACATTAAAAGGTGTAATTAAATGGATGAGAGGGATTCAAGACAAGACAGGGAGACTCATTAGGGAGCTTTTTTGTTAGAATAGCAGTTACATCTGAACAAAAATAGTGGAAGTGGTAGTGAACAAGAAATAGGTTTGCAATTATTTGGATAGCAGAAATCATGTAAATTTGAAACTTCTCAAGTGAGAATCTAGGTCTTGGTCATCTATACATGTGCAAAACTTGAGATATTATATGGGTCACTTCAAGTTACCAAGAAATGCTTGCTTTTGAGTGAATGAATCCAGGATATATCCTATTATATCTATATTTAAGTGATATATTTGGGTGTAATCTCTGTTTATAAAAACCTTGGTCCCTTGCATATGGAAGATGAATAAAAGAGATAATGTTAGGGCTCCTTGGCCCTTGATATACCAAGAAAAAATGGGCAGCATTAACTTGGAATTTTTCCCTCTGTAACATTCCTTTCATTGGCATCCAGTTATAGCGATTTAGCCAAATGTAGTCAGGAGACTCGTGAGAATCGCTGAACCCAAGATAATGACACCCTGCTTTGTTTGCCAGATGTGAAGCAATACATGAAGTGCTCAGTCAGTCCCCACAGTGATTGAGATCATTGCCTCCCAAAGGTTTCAACCTCCTTGGCTGGTGAAGATCCTGTGGGGATGACACTTGCCTGTGCAGCTCTTTGTCCTCCCCGCTGTGGTTCTCAGGACTTTAGTGAAGGACAGCAACAACCCCATGGTCAAAGCTAATAAGTAGGCTCTCAGCTACACCTTGCTCATCTCCCTCACCCTGTGCTTCCCCTGCTCCTCACTCTTCACTGGCTGTCCCAACACCGCCACAGACATCCTCCGATGAATGACACTTGGCATCGTGTTTACTGTGGCTGTTTGCACCATCTTAGCTAAACCCATCACTAGTTCTGGCTTTCCAGGTCACAACACTAGATAGAAAGATGAGGCAGGGGTTGCTGTCAGGGGCACCTAATTCTACCATTCCCATATGCTCACTGATTCAGTTTACTGTCTGTGTAGTCGGGCTGGGAACCTCTCCCCTTTCCCTGACAGAGATGCCCATTCTGGGCCGACCCTCCTTACCATTGTGGGCAAGAAGGGCTGTCATTGTGTACTACCTTTCCTTAGCATACTTGGGCTCCTGGGCTTTTCTGGCCGGAAGCTACCTGACACTTTCAATGAAGCCAAGTTCCTGGCATTCAGCATGCTGGTGTTGTGTAGCATCTGGATCACATTCCCGCCTGTGTCCGACAGCACCAAAGGGAAGGTCATGGTGGCTGTGGAGATCTTTCTCATCTTGGCTTCCAGGGCGGGGTTACAAGGATGCACCTTTGCCCCAAATTCTATAATATTCTCCTAAAGCCAGAGAGAACTACCCTGCCAGGATTAATGGGTAAAACAGACTCTGGGGGAAAATAAATACTCTAAGGCTTTACTTCATGAATTTCGTAAAACATTTAGGAAACTTGAAAATTAAGCAGTTCTCTTTCCCACACCTTGCCCCCTCAATGTTTTAACATCATTTTCCCACTGATTTGGAATGTCATCGCTATTATAAATTTAATCCCTGTATAAACATCTGTGTCCCTGACCCACGGTTCTTTCATTGATTCTCTCCCTGAATAAGTAACACATTGTTTTAATTTCCTGAATTTCATTGCCTGTTCTCACAGCACCTGTTTGTCACTGTGGCTCTTTTTCAGTCATTTTGTGTTACCAGTTCACAACATTACCAGTGTTCTCTTTGATATGACTTTTTAAATTGCCTTGGTAAATTCCATAACACACTAAGAGATTTGGATTAGAATCGTTTTGAATTTAAAGATTAGTTTGCGAGAGAGATTAGATTCTCTGATACAGTGTTTACTGGTAGTAGTAATTGTGAGTTTTGTATTGTTCCTGGCGTTAGTGGGAATGTTCCTAATGTTTTCAGCTATTTCATGTTTGGGTCCATGTTTGTGGATCATACCTTTTCTTAATCCAAATGAATATTTTATTAATGATGAAAATTCAACCCAAGGTAATTTTCTTGCATAAACATTTTAAAATTGTGATGAAATACCCATAATAAGAGTTACTTTCTTAGCCACATTTCAGCGTACAGTCCAGTAGTGTTAAGTACCTTGACACTGTGTACAACCAGTCTCCAGAATCTTCCCACACTGAAATTCCATAGCCACTAAACAACTCCCCAGCTTCTGTATTTCACCATTCTATATTCTCTATCAATTTGATCACTCTAGGTACTTCATATAAGTAGAATCATATGTCTTTCCATGAATGGCTAATTTCAGTGAGTATAACATCCTCAAGTTTTGTAGCATGTGTCAGAATTATCTTCTTTTAAGACTAATATTCCATCGTATGGATATATTACATTTTGTTTATCCACTCACTTATCAATGGACACTTGGGTTCCTTCCACTTTTGGCTGTTAAGAATAATGCTGCTATAAACATGGGCATACAAATACTTCTTCAAGATCCTGATTTCAATTCTTTTGGGAATATACCCAGAAGTAGAATTGCTAGACCATGTGGTAATTCTATTTTTAATTGTTTGAAGAACAGAAAACTTTTTTTTATAGTGGCTGCACCATTTTATATTCCCAGAAATAGTGTACAAAGGTTCCAATTTTTCCACATCCTCACCAACACTTGCTATTTTATTTTTTTTAATAATAGCCATTCTAGTCAGCATTTCATTGTTTTTATTTGTGTTAAAGGGTGAGATTTTCTCCTGTTTCATTGAGACATAATTGACATATACCATGGTGTTATTCCAAGTTATACCAATAAATGTATATATTGCAAAATGATTACCACAAGAAGTTTAGTTAACATCCATACCTTCACATAGTTACAATTTTTTTTCTTGTAAGGACTTTTAAGATCTAATCTCTCAGAAACTTTCATATATGCAATACAGTATTGTTGACTATAGTCATTGTGATATACATTAGATCCCCAGGACTTAATTATCTTACAACTAGAAGTTTTTATCTTTTGACCACCTTCACCCATTTCTCCCCATAGCCCCAGCCTCACCATTGGAAACCGCCAGTCTGTTCTCAGTGTTTGTGAGTTTGATTGTGCAAATTCTACACACAAGTGAGATCTTATAGTATTTCTTTCTCTGACATTTCACTTAGCATAATTCCTCCAAGGTCCATTCATGTTGTCAGAACAGCAGGATTTCTCTTTTTATGGCTGAATAATATTCCATTGTGTATCTATACCACATTTTCTTTATTCATTCATCTGTAGATGGACACCTAGGTTGTTTGCATGTGTTGACTATTATAAATAATGCTGCAATGAACATGGGGTACAGGTATAATTTTGAGATAGTGATTTTGCTTTCTTTGGATATGTACTCAGAAATAAAACTGCTGGATCATATTGTAGTTTATTTTTGTTTCAGGGAACTCTATACTATTTTCAATATTTTCAATAGTAGCTGTACAATTTACATTCCAGTAACAACAGTGCAAAAGGGTTCCTATTTTTCCACATCTTCATCAACACCTACCTCTTGTCTTTTCATTGTGGTTTGGCATTGCATTTCCCTGAGGCTTAGTGATACTGAGTATCTTTTTAGGTACATGTCTGCCATTTGTATCTCTTCTTTGGAAAAACATCTATTCAGTTCCTCTGCTCATTTTTTAATCCTATTGTTTGTTTCTGCTATTGAGTTGTATGAGTTCCTTACATGTTTTGGGCATAAACGCCTTATCAGATATATGATTTGTAACTATTTTCACCCATTCAGTATGTTGCCTTTTCATTTTGTTAACGGTTTTCTTTGCTGTGTAGAAGATTTATAGTTTGATGTAGTCCCACTTATTTTTGCTTTTGTTGCCTTTGCTCTTGGTATCAAATCCAAAAAATCATTACCAAGACCAATGTTAAGAGGCTTACCCATTTATGTTTTTTTCTCAAAGTTTTATGGTTTTAAATCTTACTTTCAATTCTTTAATCTAATTTGAGCTGATTTTTACTAATCATATCGCCTATGTTCAGTGATGTTGAGCATCTTTTCATGCGCTTACTGGCCATCTGTATAACTTGTTTGGAGAAATGTCTATTCAAGTCCTTTGCCTATTTTTTAATCATGATGTTTTGTTGTTGTTGAGTTGTAGTCACTCATTATATATTCTGATATTCTGGATATTAACACCTTATCAGATGTGTGGTTTACAAATTTTTTTCTCTCATTCCATTTTGCCTTTCCACTCTGTGTGTCCTTTGTCGAACACATTTTAAATTTTGATGTAGTTGAATTTATCTACTTTTAATTTTGTTGCCTGTGCTTATGTGTCATATCCAAATCACTGGCAAATCCAGTGTCATAAAGCTCTTCCTGTTTTTTTTGAAAAGTTTTGGCTCTTACATTTAGGTTTTTGATACATTTTCAGTTAAATTTTGTATATGGTGTAAGATAATGATCCAATTTCATTCTCTGGCATGTGGATATCTAGTTTTCCCAGCACCTACACTTCCCCCATTGAATGGTATTGACATCCTGGTTGAAAATCACTTGACCACATATGTGAAGGTTTCTTTCTGGGATCTCTGTTCTGTTCCATTGGTCCATGTGTCTGTCTTTATGCCAGTACCACACTGTTTTAATTACTGTAATTTTGTGGGAAGTTTTGAAATGAGATATTGTGAATTCTCCCATTTTATTCACTTTCAGGATTGTTTTGACTCTTTGGGGTCCTTTGATTCCATATGAATTTTAGGATAGGTTTTTCTATTTCTGAAAAAAATACCATTGGTATTTTGATAAGGTTTGTATTGACTCTGTAGGTCACTTTGGGTAGTATGGATGTCTTAACAATATTTAGTCCTCTCATCCATGAGCACAGTATATCTTTTCATTTATCTATCTCTTTAATTTCTTTCCGCAGTGTTTTGTAGTTTTCAGTGTACAAATCTTTCACTTCCATGGATAAGTAAGTTCGCAAGTATTTTACTCTTTTTTGCTGCTATTGTAAATGGAATGAAATTGAACTCTTACCTTATACTATATACAAAATTTAACCAAAAAATGTATCAAAAACCAAAATGTAAGAGCTAAAACTGTGTCTTATCAAGCTAAAGCTAAGTCTTACCAAGCCGTCTACTGTAACATAACTCTTAGAAGAAAACATAAGGGGTGCTCCATGACATTGGATTTACTAATGATTTATTGGATATGACACAAAAAGTGGAGGCAACAAAAGTAAAAATAGATGCATCAAAAAATAATTTATGCTTGTGTTCATCAAAATACACAACAGAGTGAATAGGCAACCTATGGAATTACAGGAAACATTTGTAAGCCATTTATCTGATAAGGGGTTACTATCTAGAATATATAAAGAACAATTAAAATAATATAGGGTTAAATCTCTTCTCAAGGGGAGCCTTAACAGCACTATATTATTTACTATTGGCAGATGCTAGTATTACATAAATAACCATTCATAAACTTGGCTCAGATAATTTCATTCTCAAATAATCTTATAGCATTCCTGACAAGCGCATAGTTGTGTGTAGAGAGAGGGAGAATTAGCAGAGGACCACCACCTCTCTCTAACTGGGATTATGTAGTAGGTGTTTATGCAACACCCTCGTGCCTTCAGAAACAACACAGGCACAGTTTCTGTGCAAATTAACCCTACTTATAGGGCAAATCCAACCTTAGAGCTAGATGGATAAGATGACACCCAACTCATGATGGGCAGCTCACCTTATTATAGAATGCCCAAAAGCTATTTCTCAAAGGGAAAATAGTTGCTTTTTAAAAGAGGACATAACTTTGCTCTCAAACCCTAAGGGTATTCTTCTGAAGATGGTCCCTGAGCTTCATGACTCTTTTTTTTTAACTAGTATAGAAAACAAGATATAGAAATTTGTCCCTTACTTTGCAATCCCCAGACACATAGATCCCAGAAAAGTTCACTGAGATGTCAGGCCTCTGCATTTGCATAGATTAATATCTGGCTATGAGACAAATGAGTCTTACCAAGCCTTCCATTGTATTAATTCACTTTTATAATCTCTTCCCATTTCTGAGTCACATATCACTAATGTCATGTGGAATAGTAAAATAAGCTAGGTCCCTTTTATTTATTAATCCATGAAACAAATAGTCACTGAGCACTCATTTCATACCAGGGTCTTTTCTTGGCTCTGGTGAAATAATCATAAACAAAGTAAAGTCCTTTTCTTCATGGAGCTTACATTGTAGTAAAACAGACAATAAATATGATGCAGCATAGTAGAATATCATGCAACATCAGGCAAAGTAGAAGCTGGGGACAGAGAATGAAGAGTGCTGCTCTGGATAGGGTACTTGGGGAAATCACATTTTACCGAAGTTACATTTTAAAAGAGATTAAAAGGAAGTAAGAGAATGCCTAGCACTTTCCAGGCTTCATCTTGGACTTCTCAGCCTCTAGAACTATGAGAAATAGGTGTTTGTTGTTTAAGACGTCCAGGCCATGGTGTTTTGTTATAGACTAAGATAGTACCCTATGGTGCTTAGGGGCCTGAGACCAACTTAGAATACTGGAGTTGTGTGTCAGCCGCTTCATTCTGCAGTAGTCATCAGGGATCTGGGCCTTGAAAAATCTGAGAGGTTTACCCTGATCAGTTTAAGGAGCTTATTCCATCCCACTCTTAGATGCCAGGTAACTGCAGTTGCACTCTTGGAGTAATAATCTCTCTCCCCAGCACTCTCCTCAGAGCCTTAGCTATGTCCTTATTCCGGAGAGTATAAATCAAAGGATTCAGTGTGGGAGTAATGATGCTATTGAACACAGAACCAACTTTGTCTTGCAACGGAGTGTGCTGGGACCTGGGCCTCAGATATGAGAAGATGCAGGCACCAAACCACAGGGAAACCACAGTGAGGTGAGAGCTACAAGTGGCAAAGGCATTTCTCTTACTGCCAGCTGAGCGCAGCTGAATGACACTGCAGAGGATGAAGACATAGGATGTGGAAACCAGGAAGATTGGGAAGAGGAGAAGCAAGACACTGCTGATGTACACTGTGTTCTCACAAATGGTGATGTCTCCACATACCAACTTCATAACAGCTGGAAACTCACAGTAGAAGTGGTGGATTTTTCGAGGCCCACAAAAAGGGAAATGCATCAAAATTGCTGTGTGAATTAGGGAGTTTATGGATGCTCCCAACCATGACATGAGAGCCATCATCAGTCCCACCTCTCTGTTCATGAGAATGGTGTAACGCAGTGGATGGCAGATGGCAACATAGCGGTCATAGGACATGAGAGCTAGCAGAAGACACTCGGCACCACCCAGAGACAAATAGAGGAAGTGCTGCGTTGCACAGCCCACAAAGGAGATGGACTTCTTGCCAGATAGATAGTTGGTAGCCATCTTGGGGATGGTTGTGGAGACATGCATCAGATCCATGAGGGAGAGCTGGCTGAGTAGGTGGTACATGGGTGTATGAAGCCGGGGATCGGCACAAATGAGGAGAATGGTGAGGGCGTTGCCACTCACTGCCACAAGGAAGACCACCATGGTCAAGGAGAAAAGAAGACGGTGGGTGAGGGAGTCACCAAAGAGACCTTCAAGGATGAAGTCTGCCGGAGAGGTCCGATTCCTCTGCCACATCTCCCCTTTCTCAGTCCTTGGGGAGCAGGAAGTGGAGATCAAGTGTGACATCTGAAATACTGGGGTTCCGCATACCTGACGATAAGCAGCTTTTGGTCTGGGAAAGAATTTTTGAAGAGAAGTTTTGTCTATTTCTCATCATTCAACAACTCTAATAATTGAAATAATCTTTTTTAAAAGGAGAGCACTTCAAATCTTCATGAGCACAATCACTCTGCAGTTCCAGAATATCCAGACTCTAGCAAGTGCCAAACTTAGAAACAAAAGTCTTTCCTCATCAAAGAAGAAATATATACACACACATATATATGTATATTTATACAAATATATACTTTTGTAACTGTGTGTGTATATATATATATACTTTAAGGTATATACTTCATATACTGTTTTATGTACATTATATATTTTTTGTAAGTGTGTGTGTGTGTATATATATATATATACTGTCTTTTGCTTATTATATCAGTCAGATTTAACCAGGGAAGTTGAACCACTCAGAGATTGATACATACATATACATTTAATGGATTGTACAGAAATCTGGCCTTCTTTGATTGTGAAAGCTGGTTAAACAGTCTAAGTAAGGCTGTCACCATTGTGTCAGATACTGGAACTTGAAGTCCATGTGGCAAGCGGTCTGGAAAGGAAGGTGGATATAAAGTGTGGTAGATTGAGAGCAGGCCGGAACCCACTAGCATGGGCGGTAATCCCATGAGGGCAGACTGAACTCATGCCAGTTCTTGCTGCCTCTGGAATGGGTGTTATGGTTATCTTGCAGAAGCTGGGACCCTTCTTAATGAGGCTACACGCACACCTAGTCCGGAAGTCAGAGATGCTAAAGAAGGATCCAGGAAGGTAGGGCAATTACAGGCCTAGCTGCTGCTTCCCACCAATGAGGTGAGTCAGCAGATAAGCAACAATGTGTATAAACGCAAAGTGACCGCTTTCCTTCTGCCCTCTAAATCTCCCTGAGAATCTCTCCTACCCCCACCTTAACCAGAAACACACAGAAATGGGAATTCTGGGAAATGTAGCTCATCCTAACCACACATTAGAAAACCACAGAGTCCATCCCCTGTCAATTCGGCACACACACACTTCTCCTGAAGAGAGATGTGCTTAATTCCAAAATAAACACAACAAAGTCATCCTTCTGCTTAATGTGATATAACTATCCTGCATACAACTGAAAACATGCAAAATATTCATATAAAAGCAAGAAAGAAATACCCATTACTACTGGCCACACAATGGGTCACCCTATCCAAGGACTAGCCCTTTCTGTGGACATCAGCACTCTTTTTCAGTCACTCCTCTTCATGCCAATGGACTCCCAAACAAAGTAGCTATGGCAGCAGGGATGGAGGCTACACATGGGCTCAGCAACCTGGACTTCTACTCACCAAGGCCAGTCTCTGGATGCCCAATCTGCCAACAGCAGAAACCAACACTGAGCTCCTGATACGGCATCATCCCCCAGGGGAATCAGCCAGGTGCTTGATGGTACACTGATTATATTGGATAGCCCCAATCATGGAAGATGACATTGCTTTGTTCCTGTTGGAGTAGACATTTACTCTGGAGATGGATTTGCCTTCCTTGGCTACAGTTCTGCTGCCAAAACTACCACCTATGGACTTCTAGAACACTTTATTCACTAAGCTTTTCCATGAAGCATTGCTCTAAGGAGCTAATTTCACCACAAATAAAGTGTGAGAATGGGCCCATGCTTATGGAATCCACTGGTCTTACCATGTTCTCTATTACTCTGAAACAACTGGCTTGACAGAACGGTGGAATGGCCTTTTGAAGACTGAATTATAGCACAGGTATTTGGCAACACCTCATGCTGCTGGAGCAATGCCTTCCAAGATGTGGTATGTGCTCTTAGTCTGCATCCAATATACGGTGCTGCGTCTCCCATTGCAGAGGTTCACGAGACCAGGTATCAAGAGGTAGAAATGGGAGAGAGTGTTCTCACTGTGACATCTATTACTGTGACCCACCAGCAAAATGTTTGCTGCCTGCCCCTGCACTTTTAGCCTCTGCTGGTTTAGACGTCTCAGTTCCAGGGGAGGAATTCTTCCAACAGGTGACACAATAATGGTTCTGTTGACTGAGAGTTGAAACTACCACCCTGCCACTCGACACACTCCATATAACTGAATCAACAATCAAAAAGGCTACTATACTGGCTGGTGTGACTGATCCTGGCCAGCAGGGGAAACTGAGTTGCCACTGCTCTATCCGTGGGCATAAAGAAGAGCACGTCTAGGAATGCACATTTTCTAGGGTGCCTCTCTGTACTCAAATGTCCTGTGATGAAAGCCAGTGGAAAACTACAACAAGCCAATTCAGACAGGACTCCTAATGGCCCAGATCCTTCAGGAATGAAAGTCTGGGTCACCTGACCAAAGACCCATGACCAACTGCGGACAAAGAGACTATGGATTGGGTAGCGAAAGAAGGTGGTTATAAACACGAGCCATGACCAGGTGAGCAGCTGCAGAAACAAAAACTGTAATAGCTATAGGTATTTCCTCCTTATATTGATGTGAATACTGTGCAGGGGAAGGATGTATGTGTGTGTGTGTATTCCCCTCAGTCATTCCCTTTTCTCACATAGTATAAATTAATATAGTTAACTTCATGGCTCAGCATTTAAGTTGCAGGATATAAAAGGGAGAGTATGAATCAGATTGGAATAGAATGAATTTTACCTAAAGATAAAAAAGGGATTTTTCCATCCTCTTATGGAAAATGGGTTGGTGTGTTTTATATTCTTTTCTTGGGAAAAAGTTACCATGTTTTTGGTTGTACATGGAATAGTTGTATCATATTAGGTGGAAGGATAACTTGGCATTGTCTTTATTTACAGATTAAGTTTGGTTTAAAGAGAGGTGTATGGGTGTGCCAAGTAGATCAGAACAAGCCTTTGTACTTACGTACCTGAAAACAAACGAGGTATGTCTTGGGTAGACATGAGAGCCTTCAATTATGGATCAGGCTGATAAAACAAGGATTTTAACAGTTAATCAGCCAAATTTCCCAATCAGCCGCTTACCTAATTTTCACAGGAATACTGATCAGAATAAGAGCTTGATCTCCATGCTGAAACCCAAGTAAAAAAAAAAATTGATCCTCCAAATATCCACCCTATCCCTCTTTGTGTCTTCCCCCTAAACATCTCCCTAGATCTTCATGCATCCCAGGTCATCTCCTTTTTAAAGTGAAGAACTCAGAAGTGTATGTATTTATCAAAGCTGAAGTTGACCAGTAAGAAAGAGGCCACATTTATTACCTCTCTTCATTTTAATGCAGCCTAGGATCATTTTTTTGGCTGTCATCTCCCACTGTTATTTCAAACTCAGCTTCTTGTGAACTAAGAGCCCGGTTTCTCCATGTTCCCTGGATTACTCCAACCCAGTCAAACCACCCACACATTTTCCTTTACTTAGGTATACGTGTATGTCCCTCTTTCCTTGTCAGTTTCTATCTTTTTCTATAAATCTCCATTGCATAAGTTCTTCCATCATCTCTTTCAGGTCTCCCTTCCTCCCTTAGGCAACTTTCCTAACGATCTCCCATTCTGATCTGTGGCCCTCAGGCGGCTTCTTTCCTCTGCCTTCTCAAGCAGTCGCCTCATGGACTGACCAAATATCAACCTCTGACTTGAGGCATGGAGAAATTAGCTGACAATGTCAGAGGATGCCCTAGTTTCTAATAAAGTTTTCCTGGTTATCTCAAGACCCAACATTTACCTTACCTGGAATTCCCTCTGCAGATCTGCGGGCAGAACAAATATAGAAGTGAAATGGACAGGGCAGGATAGGCCCACAGTGACCCACACAATGGCTGTGGGGCATCCAAACAGGCCTTTTCCCAGGTGCTCATCAGACTTCCTTCTCTAACCCCAGAAGTCTCCATTTACTGGTGGAAATGGCATAGAGGGTGCTGTCCTGTACAGTCGTCATTGTTCACATGAATTATCCTCGGTACAGAGCATTCACCAGGAGTGACAGTAGATGTAATTCTGTAACGCTCTTACAATCTGTGCTCAGTTTTTGTACTCCATCAGCACACATTTGGACAGATTAAGTTCTCTGACCTCTGCTAGTTGTGCCTCTGAATTATACATATGCTTCCTCTGGCTCTAAACATATACCTAAGCTGCCTCTCCATCCCAAAATGACACTGAGAGCCTGGGCAATAGAAATTTCCATGAATGTTATCTGATTAAGAAGCTATACTTAATCCCAGCTTAGTCATCAATGAGTCCAGGGTCAAAAGAAATGTTACGGATTTTCTGCTTTTGTGGATCACTCAAGGCACTCTCTTCCTAGGTTTAAACCTCCTTTCCTGCTTAATAAAATAAGAATTTGGCTCTAGCATTGGTATTTTTAGAATAAGCCCCTTCCTGACTCAGCAGGAATCACAGGGGTTAGAATGAAGACAGACTTGGCCTGACATGAGCTGATCATGCAGCAAGAGGGGCACCATCTGTGAGAAATAAAACATCCTTGTAACCTAGAGGATCTATGACATCAGCTGAGGCAAATGGAGAACACTAAATACACAGCATCAGGGATTCCAACCCAGAGGACACATCCTGAATCTCTTCTGGAAACCATTTCTCAAGATGCCAATTAGACTTGCTGCAACCATTGCGATAAGCACTCCCAAGGGGCTTTGCTTGAAGTTTATTTGTAAGGGGAATTATATGTTTTGAGGAGTGTGGCTCTGAAGATAACATGGGAATATCTTCTCCACGGGCCAATTAACAATGAAGAGAAGCAACTCCTGGAATCTCTAGCTGTTTTCATCTTGGAACCCAGATCCCTCTGGCCCCTTTCCATCCAACCCTTTTGAGAAGACAGTGAGAAAGATCTAGTCCCTGTTGCCCAGAGAACCCTTCTGAGGGTTTCCCCGTGTGCCATAATGTAGAAAAGAAGGAATGGAAGCAGACAATTACTGCTGGTGTGACCCATCCTAGTTGTCAGTCACACTCCAGTTTTACAGATTACATTAACATAATACATGAAAAGATGTCAGATATGGAAGTAAAAGAATATGGCAGATCTGTGCAT